ATGAATATTGTACTAATCTCTCATACTATAGCTTTTAAGGGTGATTGTACAGCCAAGGAACGTATTTAAAAACATTGAAATAGAGTTAATTGTAATTATTCCTTGTATAAAACTTAAGCTGTTGAAAAAAAAACATTTTTAAAGGAATTTTAAAATGTTTTGTTCTTTTTATTTTAAGAAACTATTTTATTATTTTAATTAAATAAGAATAAAAGCTGTCATTCGTTAAAAGAATAAAAGCAGAGACAAAAGAAAATTTTTCCCGAGAAACATATTGTTAACATAATATTCAAAACATCTATGAATTAAATCCCTATAAATAATCATCTTAAGAATATTTTTTGTGCATTATTTTAGTTCTTTGAATTAAACATTTTTATTCCCTAAGTAATTTTTGATTTTGTTAAGTTCAATTTCGATTTTATATTTTTGAAATTGAGGAAATTATAATTTTTTTCAATACCTAAATCAAAATGTACGATACACAACAAAATGTATTTGAAACAATTACATTTTTATTGTCAGTTTTGAAAAAATATTTAAATAATTTCCTCATAAAAAAAATATGAGCTTGCTTAATGTTTATTTTTTTTCACGGTTAATGGTAACCATGAATCCTCAATTAAAAATAATTCGAGTGTAATTGTTTTTAACTCGTGAATTTTTAAAAGATGGGCGTCAAATGTAAATCAGCTTTCCACTCGTAAAAAAAAATGTTACCAAACAAGCATAAATAAGTATTACTATAGCTCTAATTAAAAAAAAAAATGCAATGCGAAACGTATATCATACATCGCGTTTAGGCTATTATAAAACTAGAACATAATATTATTATGGTTGCTATTAAACCATTTCGACCGGACGTTTTGTAAATACATTTAACCCATCGGGCTCCTAACGCACTCACGAAAGTGGCGTCGGTACACTTTCATAATATAAATGTATAATAYACGAGTGTCGGCATTATAATATATGCCATTCAAAAAATATATACATTTTTTGGAAAACAGGAAGCAAAACGATATCCCCCGATTCCGGATGCGTGAATCTATATTCGTTTCGTTGACCATATCCGATTTTCGTTCGATTGCGATTCAGATTAAACTTTTGTCGCACCAATAATAATAATAGTATAGTAATCATCATAATCATTCTGTATATACCTAACCCTCCACGGGCTCCACGTACGTAAAAAAATAAATATTATGTTGCACAGTCGGTGCCCCGCGAGTCGTATCACTCGTAAAGTAAATCGCTTTTGTTTTTTAGCCCGTTGCGCCCGTGCTCGTGTTGGATGACAAAAATATATATATACACCATTATTATTATTATTATTATTATTATTGTAGAATTCGGTAAACGTACGCGATTTTCCTCCCGTTTTTTCCCTCTCGTATTTAACCCCGCCGACCCATTTTCGTTCACCTACGCCTATACTCTTCACCAACCCTATATCCTCCTCCCCCGCCGACGAACCCGCACCAGTCGACACGTACCGTTCGTGAGCGTGTACGTGACACAAAATTTAACTACCCACACCCACATATATTATGTACGCGCCCGTCTACCCACGATGATGATGATGACGACGGCGTATATTGTACACACACTCGAAATCAACCGATTCCTACGGAGTGCGGTGGGATCGTCGAGTTGGAGACGCCCGCCGGATACACATGTAAATAAATATATGTAGATTTTTATAACAAACCTCCTTATAGGTAGCAAGAGTTTGGCCARAAGATCTGCAGACGGTGCAGATGTGGAGAGGTGGTGGTGCCTTCATACTTGCACCGGCGACGGAATTCATCCCCTCTCCCCTCCACACAGATAAACCGTAAGTAGCTCGTGCAGCTATATATATATATATGTATATATAAAATATATAATACAGGGTGTAATAGAAAGACCTGACCAAAAAAAAAAAAAATCATGCTAATTCATCGTATGACAATCTTTTTAAATATTATATGATGATGAATAAATAATTTAAGAAATATACTCATCATGTCAGCAAATGTTCAAAAATCATATTTTTTAAAAAGTTATTGCGTTCCAAATTAATNAATAACATGAAGAAACTATTTTAGATTTGTTTTAGATTAGCAAATCTCTGCAGTATTTTCTCTTGAGCCTATGAATGGGATTAATAGGTTGAATATTTGATGAGATTTGCGACACTAATGGGTTACTATGGGCAGGTAGCTTGGAATAGAAAGATCTGTAGTGTTTTGTGGTTAATTGGTCGACAGACTCAGTTTTTAGATCAAAGTATAGTGTAGAATTGGATACAAACCAGGGCACAGACGTTATCATTCGAAGAGTAATGGATTGGAATGCTTGTATGGTACGAATTTGGGACGGCTTAGCACAGCCCCAGATTTGGATAGCATATGCCCATATTGATCGCAAGAGAGATTTTTACTTAACAAGCTCAGTGTGTATTGGGAGTTTTGATTTMAAAATCGAAGTAGGTGTAGTCRGCTGGTTAGGGTTTTTATTTTTAGTTTAAGGTGCGGGTCCCAAGTTAGTCTTTTATCAAGCATAATAATGTCGAGATAATTGATATTTGTAGAAAATGGAATTTGATAACCTTGAAAGTAAATAGGTGGAGGTTTAGTTCTTTTTAAAATGAATGTTCTAAACAGATTTGTCTGGATTTATTTTTATTCGCCACTTGGTTGCTCGGTTGTCAATGGAATCTATGTGTATTTGTAGAGTGTTGATGTTTCATCAGGGTCATTATTAGCACAGAGTATTGCAGTGTCGTCTGCGTAAGTAGCCATGATGGTGTTTTTTGTAACTGGAATGTCAGTCGTATTAGTATTAAATCGATCAGGGGAGAGGTTAGGTTAGCTTACCTTGGGGCACACCAGTTTTAATGCAAAACTGTAATGATTATGAGCTTCCAATGCTTCCATATCGGATTATGTAGGAATGGTTTTCGAGATATGAGCGAAAAATTTTACGATCAGGGTTAGTAACTTAAATATTTGCTTATTTTTTTGGTTTGACTTCTTGTAATCTATTAAAATCTAGTACGTGCCATGGAAATTKGTGTCTAATTGGTACAACTGACAAAAACATGTCACCTCTTGAGGCA